ACGTTAACTAGTTATTTTTTAATTATTTAAAAACTAATTTTAACCTTTTTTATTTAGGTTTAGTAGTTATTTAGTTATCCGGTTATATGAACATATATATATATTATTATTATTATTTTTTTTTTTTTAACTAGATCATTTTGAATTTTGTAACGATATAAGATGGATCTATGTAAGACGATAGAGGAGTTCGCTATCCTCAATCCTCATACCTACCATAGCCACCAACTGCGACCTATTTTAGTCCGTTAAACCTCACCATTTTAAAGCTCCGATGCTTGGCCTATATGATGACTTATTAATACAAAATAAATTTGAAATTAAAAATTCAAATATTTATCCAACACAAAATTTAAAATCGAGACCTATTACATAAATTTTTAAGGCTTTTTACGAGAACATGAATTCAATAACTTTATTCTACGATTAGTTTGAAATATTATAAGAGCATGTGATTCTTGAAAAGGAGCATATAAATAATATAAGAGAGAGAGATATGTAATTAAGGGACCAAATTGCAATAATGTTCTTTTTCCTTTGGTTTCATTTTGCTCACAAATTGGCTGACAATTTCAACGTGGGTTTTGATGCTTTTTGCCTCTTTAAGTTCAATTTTTACCACTTACATCACCTTGCCAACCATATTCTTGTTTATTTGCTTGTTCTTCAACCAAATTTTGGACATATTCCCAATTTATGTCGATTTTCATTCTTTTATTTTTATTTTTAAGGGACTAAACATGTAACGACCTAAGTCCACTACTAGCAGATATTGTCTTCTTTATGCTTTCTCTTCGGGCTTCCCTTCAAGGTTGTAAAACCTCTCAATTAAGGAGATGTTATCAATTTAGGGAGACGTTACTTAAGGGGATGGATTGTGAGATCTCATATTGGTTGGAGAGATGGACGAAACATTCCTTGTAATAATGTGGAAATGTGTTTTGAAATATTTACGAAAAGCAATATCTATTAATGATGCACTTGGACTGTTACTAAAATTAGGGGGAAATAAAACTATAATATATAATTTATAAATATTTTTAAGGGACAAAATTTTATTTTTATTTTAAGCATATGCTTTTATACATCACTTAATTAAGATGAAGGTTTTGATGTGACGATGAAGATATATTATTAGATCATATATTCTTCTCACACACACATCAATCATATGTTTATTCCCCATGCTATGATTTTTTAAATTATTATATGAATATATTCTTATAGGATTCCATATCTTATCATCGTTCATTTTTTTTTCGTTTCTATTTAGATGGCTAATTTTGTGTTAATTTAGGTTTCTTTAGTTTGTTGTGGGTATTTGAACGTTCGACTATAAAAGAAAAAAAAATTGGACGTTTTAATTACTGATCTACTACACTCGTATTGACAATAAGTTTGAGGTGATAACTTTAAGTGAGTATTATCGGGATTTTGTTCTTCCTCACACATTCCCAGTCCGTCCATGGGCCAGCACGTGGCGATCTGCTCTCGTCGCAATAACAGCTCAAGCAGTCCACCATTAACCGACGGATTTGGGACTTGGACCTCATGCCCAGTCCTCAGAGTCAATCCCTTTTCTCGAGGTTACGGATCCATTTTGCTTTCTCTTGCCTACATCATTCTATCGTTAAGATATTTTAATATTATGAAATTGTCAATTTTTAGTATTATTACACTTTTAACGGTTCCAAATTCGAGAGTAAGTTATTACAAGTATATAACCATTTGGAATGAGTAAATTTTTTCAATTTTATGAACGAGCGTAATTCTTTGAATTATAACACATTTTATTCTTATTTTCACTCAATAAATAAATATATATTCTAACGTCACATCATTATACGAATATGATGTAGCGCTGCCTCAAAATCTTTAGAAATCCAATATTATAACTTCAAATAAAAATAATAAATAAAGAGAGACGAGACCCGACATTATAGATTTAACTCGTTTTCATTGCTGAATAACGTAAGTATCTATCAACACGAGCATAGTTCAACAAATATGTATGTTAATGCCTATTCTCAAGACATTTCAAATCCTACGCTCCACATATTCATTCGTTTATGAAGCTCACATAGGGATTATATAGAATAATGGATCACATAACACTACAATAAGCATGGACATTATCTTCACTAAAAAGATGAACAGTGTTATCACTAACAGTTGAATATAAAGGATCTGGGAAGTATCCATGGACGCCTTCATTAAAACCATGCCTGTAATAATTATACGTCGATGCATACGTCGATTCGTCGTAATACTGCGATGCGTATGGATAGTATTCACTGTCGTAAGGGAACGGCCATAGCTCGGCTTTTCGCCCCGTTCCTCTCACCTTCTTTAGTACTTTTCTTTCTTCTACATATCCAGTTACAGTCACCTTCTGTTTGTCCATGTCTATTTCCAAGCTATCTACTCCTGTTGTGTAACTTTTCTCAGTTAGCTCACAAACAAAATTTGCTCATTAAATAGTAGTACTTGCCTTCGATCTTAGAGATCGCTCTTCGAACCCGATCCTCGCATCCATTGCAGTCCATGTGCACTAGAAGCTCGACAATCTGATGCATACGAGCATTAAATGGATTAAATATACGATAACTCGACTTAAGCTTTTAAGTTTAAGTAACAGCCAAAGTCCACCGCTAGCAAATATTGTCCTTTTCGGGCTTCCCCTCAAGGTTTTTAAAATGCGTTGTTAAGGAGAGGTTTCCAGACCTTGATAAAGAATGTTTTGCTCTCCTCGTCAACCCATGTGAGATCTCACAGTTTCAGTAAGAGTTAAAAGACATTAGAGAAAACGGAAGGAAATGACTGTACACTGCTAGCAAATATTGTCCTCTTCGAACTTCCCCTTTCGGGCTTCCTCTCAAGGTTTCTAGAAACCATCTGCCAGGGAGAGGTTTTCACACCCTTATAAAGAATGTTACGTTCTACTCATCAACTGACGTGGGATCTCACAGTTTCAGTAAAAGTTAAAGACATTAGAGAAAATGCAAGAGAAAGACGAAACACCATTAGCAGATATTGTTCTCTTTAGATTTTTCCTTTCGGGCTTCTCCTCAAGGTTTCTAAAACGCATCTACTAGGAAGACGTTTCCACACCCTTATAAAGAATGTATCGTTCTCCTCACCAACCGACATGGGATCTCACAGTTCCAGTAAGAGTTAAAGACATTCGAGAAAACGAAAGGGAAGGACTGCAGTACTTACCGACATGGCATTGGAGGAACGTTTTCGATGAAATCGAAGCCCAAACATGACGATGGTCGATATGGCTGAAGGGTTTGGTTGTATAAATATATATATAGCAAGTTATGGGGTTCCCTTTTGCTGTTTCTGCATGGAGCATTGTGTGTGTATTTATTCTTATTATGAGGTTTGGTTTTTTTTTCTTTTCCAAAAGCTCATAGGAATAAAAGAAAATGGCTCAAATTGGGGCTGCCTTTAATTTGCTCTGTCCATTTGAATCGATACTCTCATCCCCTCCCCTTATCCCTAACTATGACCCTAAAGTTTTCATTCATTAATAGGGAGAAACCAACATGGGACATGACAGATATTTATTCTGATTTTGGTTTATTCTTTTCTATGCATAATCAAGGAAATGAGATGTGGCCAAAAGGATAAGGGGTTGGATGTTCATGTAAATGTGGGTTTCTAAATGGGAAGTTTTAGAGAGAATTGTAAAAACAAATATCATCCGTTTCTTTCGAATATTATGCCACAAATATTCTAAAGAAACGTCTGAACCGATGGGTTGATTTTCTCTAAGAATATTACCTCACGAATGTCGGAGATGATTTGAATCTATAATCTTTTAAAGAGTAGAAATGTTTTACTATTTGTAACCATCCAAGTCCAAGCCCAAGTCAAGCCCACCGTTAGCAGATCTTGTCCGTTTTGGCTCATTACTTATTGTTATCAGCCTCACGATTTTAAAACGTGTGTTACGAAGAGGGTTTCACTCTTATAAGGAATGTTTCGTTCCCTTCTCCAACCGATGTGTGATCTCACAATCCACCCCCTTGGGGCCAACGTCCTCACTGGCACATTGCCCAATGTCTAGTTCAAATACCATTTGTAACCGTCCAAGCCCAAGCCCACTACTAACAGATATTGTCTGTTTTGGCCTGTTACGTATCTCGCCAAAGCGCATATGTTCTGAAGAGGTTTTTACTCTCATAAGGAATGTTTTGTTCCCCTCTCCAACTGATGTGTGATCTCACAATCCACCCCCTTGGGGCCAGTGTCCTCGCTGGCACATTAACTTAATGTCAAGTTCTGATACCATTTGTAACAGTTCAAACCCACTGCTAGCAGCTATTGTCCACTTTGGTTCATAACGTGTCTAACCTTTAAGTTGTGTTGAGGTTGACCATATTATCATATGTCTTTGAACTTTTTGATTTGAGCTATTCATGCACGTCCAACGTGGAAGTATGTTGCAAATAAACTCTACCAATGGTAGGTTATTGCAATAGTTTCATCTTGTGTAATTAATTGCAACACGGTTTATCCTAGCATAGCTTGGTGGATATATAAAATCTATTACCATTCTGGTTCGATCTTCTTCACTCCACAGTTGTTGGACTAAAAAATAATTGCTATAATGAAAAAAACATATGGTGAGACAGCCTTATAGTTTGGTTTTATGGTAACGATTAAATATATAGTTGAGAGTGATTTTAAATATGATAAAACTAAATTCAATAATTTCAAAATCACTCTCAAACATACCATAAGACACAACTTCAAAATTACTTCTAATAATGTAGCTCGATCAGTTAATGCATTATATCCACGAGGAAAAGGTGGAAAAATGTTTTTGATATACCCTTACCATTCAATATGAGACAAAGTTTTCTACTTCTTTTCCCATCGACACAAGTACCAAAACCAACAAGAAAAGATTCACGTCAGTACAATAGAAAAAGTTCTAACTGATCGTAACAGCCCAAGCCTACATCTAGTAGATATTGTCCACTTCGGCCCGCTACGTAGCGCCGTCAGGCTCACGATTTTAGAATGCGTCTACTAGGGAGAGGTTTCCACACCTTTATAAGCAATGTTTCATTCCCCCCTCTAACCGTACGGAATCTCACTATTCACTCCCCTTGGGGGCCCAATGTCCTCGCTCACATACCGTCCAGTGTTTGGCTCCGATACCATTTGCAATAGCTCAATCTTACCGCTATCAGATATTATCTTTTTTGGGCTTTCCCTTTCATGCTTCCCCTCAAGGTTTTGAAACTCATCTATTAGGGAGAGGTTTCCACACCCTTATAAGAAATGTTTCGTTGCCCTCTTCCGCTAATATTTTGGCAAATATATATCAGTTCAACAGAAAGAAACTTTGTACTCACATCAGTCAGTCAAGGCCATAGAAAGAGTTCAAATAAAAGCACTGCCTCCAAGCGGACAACATATTAAAGTTACTTCACTTTTCCCAGGTATGAACAAGTGTTTGGCCTACCTCACATGTGGTTCTATGGATGTTATGTGACATCCACGCCTTTAACATTTGGCATCCAAAACTCGGAACTGTTAGTATACTACATAAATAGCTACCATAATTTGATCTCATGACTTCAACGATACCTAGTTTCGCAACTTGTCCCTTAACTAGTTAGTCGAACTCGCAGTGAAGCATCATAGTCTTTTCCTCCATGCCAAAAGGGAATTCTGATGTTCGTTTCCCAACAATAAATGAAGGGAAGTGACTAAAGGTTCCAATACCATGCCAAGGCAAATATGATGGGATGAAGAGTATTCGAAATGGGGAAAATCAAATCATCTGGGCATTTTGAGGATATGAAGCCTTCTTACTATTATTACTGTCCTTCAAGATATATAAACTCAGCCCTCTGAGAAGGAAGTCAAAGATATCAGCACGACCATCAAACAAGTCGAAGTCCCCAACCCAAGATTCTGCACTTGATAGCTCCAATACTCCCAATTCCCTGCTTCTCTAGCAATCTGAATGTGTCGTATGACATGCTTTATCATCACTTGTAAACAAGCCCAAGTCCTTTCAACATGCTTTGTAACAGCTCAAACCCACCACCAGTAGATATTGTCTGCTTTCGTTCGTTACGTATCGTTGTCAGCCTCATGATTTCAAAACGCGTCGGCTAGGGAGAGGTTTCCATACCCTTATAAGACCCCTCTCCAACCGATGTGGGGTCTCACAATCCACCCCCTTGGAGCCCAGCGTCCTTGCTGACATACCGCCCAGTGTCTATCTCTAATACCATTTGTAACAGCCCAAGCCGACCACCAATAAATATTGTTCGCTTTGGCCCGTTACATATTGTCGTCAGCCTTACGGTTTTAAAACGCATCTACTAAAGAGAGGTTTCTACACCCTTATAAGACCTCTCTCCAACCGATGTGGGATCTCACATACTTTTCACAAAAATCTCTTTAAAGCCACTCTACCTAGAATTGCCCAAGCTGCGCAATATCAAAATCACTTTCTCATGTTGATGTGATATAAGTTTATTTATGTCATTTGGCCAAGAAGCCTATCACGAGTTGTTCCTTGCCCCGGTTACAACTCCAGGGGTTACATTCATGGTCCAAAACCCCATTTTGGCATGGAGTTGAACTTCGATTCTAATCATAGAGAAAGGCAAAATGCATACTCTTACAGAAGATAGCAAGCATGAACAAATGAATGTGTCATCATCAGATAGAACAGAAACCAAATTCAAGCTCAATTTGTTTGAAGGAAACGAATCAAATCAATCTTCAATTTCCATCTCACTTCCCAGTTCCCACCCCCAATTCTCAGCAAAAACCAGTGAAAACAATATCAATTTCCATCAACCTCGTCATAATCAAGAAGCAGAGTCATAATAGACAATTTTAAACAATAAAGGCAGCTGAAAGAAGAGTTGAACCTGGAGTTAATCGTACTTTTCTCTCCATGAATACACAAGAAAGAAGACCCATGACAATGCCAATGTAACATCCCCAACGACCTGTCGAGGCCAATCTTGGGCGAGATCCTCAAGCTTCCTCTCGAAATAAACTCTCCATATGGCCATGGCAAGGTGAAGCAACACGCATCCTTTAGCAAAGAAGCTTTGAAACTCTCTATCTTTCACAAATGCCACCATGAATAAAAGAAACCCAACAGTAAAGAGAAGCAAACCAGAGAAGGAATCAGATGTCCTTATCAGAAGCTGATCGTGGGGGCTAGATCCCTGCAGCTTGATCGCTGTTTCAGGGCCATGGCCAAACACATAGACCTCGTGAGAGTAAAACATCATTAACGCTCCACAAGTTAAAGCAATCAGAGAATGAAGCATACATATTAACAAAAAACCCCCAGATGATGCCATTGATTTGATTATCACCTGATTAAGAAGATTCTCCTTCTTGTAGAAGAAAATCTCCGTCAGGAATCAAATATCCCCTGACAGATCCAATTTGCGAGTTGATCATAATCTATCAAAAACCCTAAACCTCGATCTCCAAGCAAAATCGAACATCAACAGAGATCCCAAGCACGGAAAAATACAAAAATTAACACAAATTCAAGAATCTGGAAAAGAACAACCCACAATTTCGGATCGAAATCCTAAACTCGACGCAATGAATCGAACACAATATGGATTGTTGCGAATATCAGAGGGAGAATCAAGATGAACAATCAGGAATGGAAATTAATGGAAGGCGATTCCATGAAGAGATTACGATTCAGAGAAATGGGTGGGAGAGGAGGGGATGCGCTTAACTGGCATAGAGATTGCTGCTTCCAGTAGCCATCTCCATTCCCATACCTTCCTCTACAGTTTCTCATGCAGAAAACGCCACGCCCCTTCCGCCAATTTCCCTTGTCTGTGGTGCTGCGAGTTCAAACCAAATTGGTAGCAATGGATAACGTTAATCCATTTCAATTAACGAAGTCATTATGAAGCTAATCGTGATTATAAGTTACGGTTTATAACTCAAAATGATGATGAACTAAATAAGCCTATTTTTACTTTTATCTAATTTAATTTTAACCAAATGTATTATTTTATTATTAATTAAAAAATTATAGATTCAAATCTTATATTCAACCATTAAATTAAAATATTATTATTTTATAATTAAAATTAAAAAAAATTGTAGCTTATTAATGGAGTATTAAATAAATTGGGGCACTGAGATTTGAACCTCTAATCTTATAAAATTATTACAGGTCAATTATTGATGAATTATGATTATAATGTTTATCTAATGGGCCATAAGGACTTATCCTAAACGGGGTAGAGAATCAAATGGGGGAGGGACTGAGGAGAGAATTTTACTTGCTAGCTACACGAGCCGAAGACCGAGATCATATTTTTCGTCCTCAATCTTGCTCCTCACTCAATGGGCATCTCTAACTTTGACATAATCAACACTCGATTAAAAAAAGTTTGACACGACACGCGTATTAATTCATCAAATTGTTTGTTGTTTATTTTTTTAGAGTTTGACAACACGTAAGAGTAGAGATTTGAACTAGAGATTTCCACGGGGCGGGCGCGGGGACGGGGAAGCCCATCCTGATATGATAAGGAATCACTACAAGGGAAGTAAGATTTGGATTACCTTGTTGATCAAATATCTCAAGGCAAGAACATTATTTGAGATTTGGATCACTCCACAAACAAGATCAATCATATCTAGCTTGAATGATTTTTGTTGATCAAATATCTCAATGCAAAACACTTGTTTGAGATTCGAATCACTCCACAAGCAAGATTGATCATATCGAGCTTGAATGATTTTACATGCAACCTAAACTAGTTAAAATTGTAAAGAAACTTAGTAATTGGTTAAATAAAGCATAAATGCTTCTTTTACTATATTTTCAAGTTTCTTTACCAATACAACATATATGCAGCCTCAAAATGAAACTACTGAACTAGAGGCGTTCCAAGAATGGTAACATTCATACTTAATGTCATAATTAACCATTATGTAATTGTAACCTAAAATAAATAAAAAATCTTAAAATACATTAATAAAATACAATAACTCTAGATTACTCTAAATTGTAACCTACCAAAAATTTATAACATGAAATTTCATTCGGTGGAATGAATTGAAATATCTTTGGATAATTTCAACAATATTTTATTCACATTTTCATTGAAGCATATTGTATGATTGATGTCTCTTGGTTCATATCACATTCCCACTACCTATTTCATTCCCCATTTATTCGCGTAGGGATCATGTTCCCCGTAAGTAAGTTTTTTCCGTTTATTATTTTTTTTAAACAAATATAGTTATTTTAAAGTTTTTTATTTTTTCAATATAATTTTTATTAAAAAAAAATCATAATAAATCAATATATTTCATAAATAAATAAATAAATATAGTATTTTAATAATTGAGTGATGTTTAAATCGACATTTATTAGATCACTCGTTTAATAATATATAATTTTTCTAAAGAAATCATAAATAATAAGTTTTTGGAATATTTAAAGTTTTAAATAATAAAAAAAAAAAGGAATTTTATATTAATTTCTCTTGGCAAAATTGCTGAATAATGATGGTTCCAACGAAACACAGACATAATTATTTATGCCCTAATTTTGTGTTCATGTCAGCTCAAAGACAACTTTATGATTATATATAATGCAAGTTGCCCTTCACAAGGAGGGCTTCATCATTTTTTTAAAATTTTTATTTTCAATAAATATTATTTAATAAATAAATAATTATTATGAATTTAATATGTTTTTTTTAAGCATATTAAAAAAAAAAACTAAAAATCATTATCAAGCAATCTTTTATATGTACCATATATGATTTTTTAAAAATGTTTGTTGAATTTCTATTTGTTTGTATTTAGTTTGGTAAATTAAATTATAAATACCATATTTATTTTTAGTCGGCGGAATAATTATATTTTTTTTTTAAAATTACAAAATAAATTATTATTGTTTTTTTTTTATGTGACGTGGCTTGTGGTTCAATTATTTGTGGATAAAAAAAATTGGATTTTCAATATATACAAAGAAAGTCTACTTGCATCCATGAGAAAGGCTTTAATAATGTTGGGCTCTTTGGGGGACAAAATGACATATTGGCCCATCATAAACAAATAAATTACAATATAATAATATCGACGTTTTCTTATAGTTTGCTTTGTTTCGAGAGGTCATCCCGTATAAGATTGTTTCAACTAAAAAACACTTAACGCTCAATATGATGGAAGTATCTGACTCATAATCTAAAAAATACACATTTTGTAAGATCTTACATCGGTTAGGGAGGAGAACGAAACACCATTTATAAAGGTGTGCAACCCTCTAGCAGGTGCGTTTTAAAAACTTTGAGAGGAAGTTCAAAAGAAAAAGCTTAAAGAGGGCAATATTTGATAGCGGTGGGTTAGGATTGTTACAAATGGTATTAGAGACTGACACGGGGTAATGTGTCAGTGAGGAGGTTGTTCCTTGAAGAGGGTAGAGAGAAGACGGCATGCTAGTAAGAATGCGCTGGACCCTGAAGAGGAGTGAATTTGGTGGGGGTCTCACATTGATTGGAGAAAGAAACGAGTGTCAGCGAGGACGTTGGGCCTTGGAGGGATGAATTGTGAGATCCCAAATCGATTGGGGAGGAGAACGAAACGAGTCATATTTAAAGAAAGCTGCATTTAGGTATTTGAAGTCGACAGTAAAATAAATCAAGTGCACGTAAGAAAAGAAGAAGAATTTGTCTCGAGTCACAATCGGCTCGCACAAAGACTCCTAAATCCATTCCGAGGTCCTTCTCTCACGAAGATTCAGACAAAATTGAAGTTAGATGGTGGAGTTTTCCAACCATACCCTTAATGTGAAATAAATTTGACTGAAGTGAAAAGGAAAACAAGGGGGTACCATGTAGGGGTAGATTGGTCCAAGAAAAATAAAGCATAGCCATAAATTTCATGTGCATGATTTTTCTTCACAACTGCTGATAATTTAATGTACAGAGAGAGATACATTTAAATGGGTCCAAGTCTATCCACCCTCCATTTATGGCTATTTTTTCCCCCTTATAATGACGTGTCACTAATTAATGAAACTAAATATCTTACGTGTAAATTAATCAACATTATTTTTAAATTCGTGATTTAAA